TGAAGCTGCTGCTGCCTCCTCCTTTTCCTCTTCTTCCTCCTTCTCCTCTTCTACTTTTGAGTAATTTGAGTTACCCAAACATATCTTACTGTTATTATTTTCCATTTAAGATGAAGATCACTTTACTATTAACTGGAAAAGTAGATGCTGATAGACTTAAAACTTCTAATGTCAGTTTACTCCTAATAAACAGACCCACCTTCCATTTCTGCCTTGTGTGAAACAGTCTTCCCAGTATGAAGTGGAATGTGTCTCAGTGTGCCTCCATCTGCCTTGGGATAAACAGTGTTGTCTAAACACTGATGAGTCAGCTTTTGAGAATTATAATAATTGTTTCATGTGAGCTCATTTGCAAAGGAACGAGGTTAGTTTTGGCTCACAGTTCTAGAGGCATGGGCTCTAACATAGGTTCTCTAAACTACAATAATACCATGGCACGGACGGGTATGTTTCTATGATTCTCTCCCTCTCCTTAGAGGTCATAGGACTCCACCCTGCTCTCCTGATTCAGTCACTACCAAAAGGCCCAACATCTAAATGCTGTAGTTAGAATACGTTTCTAGCTTTGTGATGAGATGAGCATAAGACTCTAGGAATTAAACACCTGCAATACATTGGGAACAAACTAATATTGAAACAAAATATTGACAGAGAACACAAAGATGGCCAGTGCTGTTAGCCTTTCCTTACAGGATCCATAATAAATGCTGCCATTTTATATCCTCGGTGGTTTTACAGCAGTCTAGGAACACTGTGCTTTCCACTTAATTCTAATGAAAATATTAACAGTGGGAATACACACCAAGAGCAAGTAAAGCAGTTTCAAGTGCTGAACTCATTGAGTGCTAATGCCAAACGACTGGCCTTGCTTATTAATACAAGCAGTTTGTTGTACACTATAATATAGGTGAGAGTTTAAACTGTAAGACTAGTTATGACTTCCTCAAGAGGTACATAAGGAATAATAAAGGGAATGGGCCAGCAGCAGGATGATCATTTAAAGAACAAACTAAAGATGCCATCTCCAAGAGCAGAGGTATTTTCACTAATATGTAAGAGGAAAAACTAATATTAGTGAGTTTAACTTATGTAAGGTCACAAAGACATAATTAGAGAACCTTATTTGAACATATAAGCTATAATTCCAGATATCCATGTTCTGAACCACAGTTCGTTAAGGGTGTTGTGTCTATTTGGCAGGGCATAATGAACTGATTACTGTGGGAGTGTGCAAGAATTGTCAGTACTGAGTACATCTAAATTAGAAACCTTAAACCTGTGGAACAACCATTACCATTGTGTCCAGTTATGTCATTTACCTGCAGTGATAGCTAGCTAGCCATTTTAGTGACCACAGAAAGGAGCAGCAGTGAGATTTTATAGTTTTTTTAGACTAGGTAGATGAGAAATTAAAATACAGCCAAGCAAATCTTACTGAATGTCATGAATAAAGACAAGAGTCTATGAGATTTGTAGTAGAAAATATAAGAGAAAAAGAAGCTTAAATGGAGGTGCCTCAGTGTATGAAGTGCTTGCTGTACAGAGAGACCTAAATTCAGATCCCCAGCAAACACACATACCTGCACACACACATGCACACACAACAGAAGCAGCAGCAACAACAACAACAAAGTCAGGCATGGCACCATGTACCTGTAACCTCAGTGCATTGACGTAGGGAATGGTGGACAGGAAGACCCTGGGGACTTACTAGATAGCCAGCCCAGATGAATTGGTGAACTTAAAATTCAGTGAGACACTCTATCTTCAGAAGACAAGATAGAAGGTGATTGAGAAAGACACCAACCTTGGCCTCCAACCTCCACACCTGTGCCTGGAATATTTATCCATATGCACATACACTATTCACAGCACACAGAATCAGAATTCCTTTGGACTCTAGTATATTGGAAAAGAAAGAAAGAATAGCACCTGCAGACTGTACTGAGCACGAGCAGAAAGGATTGCAACTGAGGAATTCTGTATCCATCTATACCTGTCACAGACAGCCTAAAAGATATCTGGATAGAACTACAGTATATGATCCACATGAAGAAAATCCTTGAAAGAATAAGATAAGGCTATCTTGAAAGATAAGGAAAATGCTTGAAAGGATAAGAATGAGGTTATCAAGACGAACCAAAGAAACAAAGCAAGTGCACAATGAGCCATGGAGTGCAACCAGCTCCAAAAGAACAAGGAGAGGAAACAGCAACATGTAAGGCAATACAGTGTCTTCAGTCAGAAAATTTGTGATAGCTATATTTTAGTAAGATTGGAATTACTGAGTGTAGATGTGTGTGAGAAGTTAAAAAAATACAAAAAATTTATATAGAAGATAGCTTTTGAAATTTCTACCTTACATGAGTAAATACCAAAGTTGATAGAAAAGAAAAACCTCAAAAACAATAGATAGTACATAGTCTTAAGAATGATAATGCTTAAAACCTAAATTCACTAAACTGTATAGAGACTAACTTGTAAAAATGAAAGTTATTAAGTATAGAGAGAAAACTCACACTGCCTCTGCAGTAAATGGGAAAGGTTGGTATGTTCTCTAAAGGGGATGGACAATGGGAAAACATGTAAGGACAGGAAGAGACTAATCAATACATTTGATTACAAAAACTCACTTATCTAATAATAATGTACCTTTTCAAGGAGCATAAACAAAACTCGACATGCACCAGGCTACATGAATAACTTTAATAACTGAATGGAAAATAGATCTCTGATCATAAGCCAACAAGTAAAAACTATGTGATGACACATAACTAAAGCTTTAGACACGTCTACTACTAAGATCACAGAATGTATACAAGAGTAGAACTATAAACTATGTAGAAGTTTATATAACTATGTAGAAGTTTATAAACTATGTAGAAGACAGAGACACAGTTTATCTCTAAACTGTGTTATACTGTGTAACTCATACTCAAACAAAATGTATAGCCTTAATTGTCCTTGAATGAAGGGGAAAAATGGGCAGGGTATGGTAGGATACAACTCTAATCTTTATGCTGGGAGGCAGAAGCAGGGGGATTACTGTAGACACAGGCTGGACTGTCAGTTTAGTGAGTTATAAATAAGGCAGAGTGCGCAGTAGATCTCACCACAAAAGACCAAGAAAGGAGAAAGATGGAAAATAAGATCAATAATTAACTTAAAAATAAATATGGAAAAGAAAGAAACTTGGGAGAATTGAGGGTAAAGCCTGAGTTACAGAGCCCAGAACCAAAAGAGGGTCATACAGGTTCTGGACTAACATGAGCAGGCCAGTCCAGGTTCGTTGGGAAGACATGCTTGAGGATGGAGGCATGTGTAAGTCTCAGGTTAGATTCAGGGCTGATCATTTCTGTCTCTTCTGATAGTTTTCTCTCTTTCTCAGCTCCCTATCTAGAAACAGACTACATTGGCTACAGGGCGGTGAGTGCAGGAGTATGTTCAGCCGAGTCCTGAGGCTAGAAGGGATTTCATACTCAGGCTAGCTCTACTTTAAACTCCTACTCAACAGTATGTCATGTGAAGAGAGTCATAGGTTTTAGAATGCTGAGTCACTGTGAAAAACCTTTTCAAAACTGTGAAGGGCCTCCCAGCATAGCTAGATTACAGCTCCATGCACTGATAGCACTCTGCCACAGTATGCTGTAACGTGTCCGTTTACGTTAAATGTTCTCTTTTCATGGTCTTCTGTTCATCTTACCTTGCCACAAGACTTTGTCAGCAGCAAACTCTTTGTGATCACATTCTGGAAGTTGTCATTTAATATTGTAAATGTGGGGCGTCTTTCTGTTGCTACTGTTTTGACGTCATGATTAAAGGAAAACCTTTGCCTCTCAGCTTGACACTGATAGGGATCAGTCAGGATCAACATTCAGCATGCCTATTTTTTATTCATTTTAAGTAAGTTCCAGGCTTTAATATATATGAATTGTTTGCATTTTGATTGGTATTGGTGAAAAACAAGGCAATGTGAGGGAAAATTCCTTTTTTAAAAACTTGACACAAAGCCTGTAATGGGATCATTCGCATCCTCTCTTTCATACATTCACTATGAGTTAGAAAGTGATAAAAGGGTGTGTGTGCATGTGTGTGTGTGCGTGCATGTGTGTGTTGTTTACAGTAGAAACAAAAGTTTTGTAACCATCTTGTATTTGAGAAATGGAACCTAAGTTCCAGAAACATGTACTGTCACTGCTTGTATCAGACACAGCAGTTAGGTAGATTTATATTAGTTTAACCCTTTTTATTCCAGTGAAGCCAGCAACTACTAAAAATAATTGAAAAACCTATTTTAAATTCTGATTATTTTTCTACTAGAGAAGTTTTTGTTTTGGCTGTCATATTTGGGTGGTAGCAATACAAAAGAACCTTTGAAAACTCTGAATGATGTAGTTATTGTCAAAAATAAAAATATATGCGTGACACCTTCCTTCTTAAGTATTTTATATCTGTTTAGAAAAACAGAGTCAAGCTTTATCTTATGATGGTCATTTTTCCCTCATCGGAAGAGCTCAAGAAATTACTTTATTTTATTGTTCCTTTTGGTTTTAATAGCATTAACCACCTCAAAAGACAGCCTTGGGAACATGGAGTGTGTTCAGATAAATTATCTCTACCAGAAGTACAGTTCTGTTGAAAGTAACTGCAAGCTTCTACGTGGTCCCATTTGTTTCTGAAACTGCTCATACTGCCTGTTGGACCTGGCCATGTTGCAGGCTCCAAGGATGTGTGTGTCTCTCTGGCCTTCCTCAGCAGTCTGCCTTAATTAATATGTATTGGCCTTACTAAAATAATGCCTTTTGTAATGCATTGCCTCATTGCATATAGTTCAAAACTGTGATAGTGTGTTACAATAACAAAGTTATCAAGAGTTGGTATTCCCCATTACCTTCTCCAGTATTTCCATGGACTTTCCAAAAGCTTTTCCTTTCATTTCCCATTCAGGTCTTGGCCAGTGGTCATGCTCTTGTGCTTGCTTTCTTTGTGTTCATGTGCAGGATGAATATAAGCCAGAGAAGTCTCTGTCCGATGAAGACTTGAAGAATGCAGTGAGTGTGCACCATGCTCTAGCATCCAAGGCCACCGACTACGAGAAGAAGCCCAACGTGTTTAAACTCAAGACTGCAGACTGGAGGGTCTTGCTTTTCCAAACCCAGTATGTTTGTTGCTTTTGTTCTTATTTGGTCTTCGTTTCCTCTTCTCTCACCTCTTTCTTCTTTTTCTCTTCCTCCCTCTCACCATGTAAGGAGAGGAAGAACCACCAACTCTGATCTCCATACTCATGATCTCTCTTGATCTCTCTCTCTCTCTCTCTCTCTCTCTCTCTCTCTCTCTCTCTCTCCCTCTCCCTCTCCCT